AACAAAATCCACTTATTTTACTTTAAAAATTCATATTGCTCAAAATATTATAGAAAATGTTCAACTCTCTTGTTGAATCTTTAGTTTAAAATATTTTATATAAATATACGTAAAAATATTTAAGGACTTAAGACTAACAAATTTTAGCAAGTAATCATGTGATGTGAAACCTTTAAATTAATAATGCTATTAAATTAAAAATTATGCAAATTTTATGCATTAAATTTTTTAACAGTATAACATTGTACCTACATGATATACTGTTAATAAACTCATATTAAAGAAATATTTTACATTTTAAATGATTTAAATCCTCATAACAAATGTTTATTGCCTCGTACTGCCCAATCTGTGTTGCATGCTATAAAATTACAAAATTAAACTTGGATTTTGCAATTTTTAGCTGTTTCACCATCTTGCTTTGTGTCTGTCTTATTCACAAACAGCATATAATACATTATTTATATATGTACCTTCTAGGGTTTCTTATTTCCTGATCTTCTGCTTGTCCTGGGATTCCAGGAAAAAAGTGATCTGTTTTCCGGAATTCCAGGATATAATTAATTATTTTTAAGATATAAAATAAATCTTAAAATCGAATGATATAATTACTTTTCATTTTTAACTAACTTAATACAACCTACAACTTCCAAAATAATAATAATGCTGTGTAAAATATGTATAAAAAAATTATTTTTGAGTTATGTAGAAATTTTCACAAATAGAAAAAGTTTATTAAAGTTTGTTAAAAACTACTCACAACAAAAATGCCTTTGAATTGAGTTGAAAATTTAAAGAAAAAAAATGAACTTACATAAAACTTTACGATAATATTTTGTATTATGTTTTATTTAAATAAGGAAAATTACCTTCTAACTTAGCTTATTTAAATAAAACATAATACAAAATATTATCGTAAACTTTTATAAGATTTTAAAAATCAAAGAATACTTGATCACACAATTTGATTCTTATTTTAGTAAAAAAAAGTCCTGCTACCAAAAATGCCCTTTTTGATTCAATTGATATAGGTGGAATCGTGTTTAATGCATTTAAGAGAAGACGGATGTTATGTGTTTTTTCACCTATAGCCTGGAAGATTTCTAGTTCATTTTCGAGATGTGTTACAGTATTTCTTTTGCTGTCTAGTATTCTTGATTTCTCTACCTTGGCTGCTTTAATAGCGGCATCGAGCTTATAGCCCAATAATTTGGCAGTTTGTTTGGCTTTAATAATCAGGTTTATGAAGAAAAACTTCATACTTGCATACTTTGTACTTGTTTGTATCCTTGCCCAATTTGCACAACCTGGCATAATGCAGTTATTCATGCTACTGGGCATGGTTAAAAATTAAGACAGCATAAGCATAATTATTCCAAATATTACAGGTTCTGACAAGTAAAGAATTTTCAGTGTCTTGTCACAAATAGGCTACATATTGATTATTGACAATCTGTGACATGCCATAATAAGCAAAAATTAAAAACACTAATAAGCAGGCTTAAAATTAATAAATACAAACATTCCAACAGTTTCGAGATTAATTATACTTTCTATTTGCAAAAGTTCCTCAACTTTAACACAAAATAAGAAAAAAGGGAATTTTTAAGAAATCTGCAAGATTTCCCGAGATAATAAGAATTTCCTGGGTTAAAAATCAGCTGGGATGCCGTTGGAGAAATCCTAGTATCTTGTTTTAAAATTATAATTAATTGCATTAAAATTTTAAAAATATTCAAATTATATATATTTTAAAATATTAAATATNAACCTGGTTTGTATGCCATTCTAAGACCATTGATCTGACATCCCCCACTTCTTCAAAAGATCTTTAATTAATAGCAGATATCGACATTAATCCTCTTTTTCATAACAAAACATATCTCACTGAGTTTCTTGGTGTTCTTCATTCAAGAGTTCTTGGCATTCTTCTGTTGTCAGATCCATTTCAGGTTCCATTATAAGCTCTTCAATGTTCTTTATTTCTCAGAAGTGATTTTTGTTACTCCTTTAGCTGCTTGAGTCTTTTTGATTATACTGTATCTTTCTTAGATAAGATTGAACTGCACCCTACTGTAATTTTGTTCAAGCCATACTGCCCAGCAACATCAGACACTTTCTGCCCACTCTCTACCTTTGCTATTTTATCCTTCAAAAATAAAACTCGATGCAAAACTTAATGAGTGCCTGCCTGACAGTCTCACAAATACTATAAAAGAATTGTTTCTGTCAGAAAAGTAAAAGGCTGGAATTACGAGGGAGAGCTTCAAAGTTCGGAGGAATACTATCTGATGATTATATTCCAGGTTGAGTGTCGATGTCTCCAGCGCTCCGAAAAGCTTCAAATTGTTGCCTGAAGACAAGGGAAATCAATCAGTATTTGCTATTTTCATTGCTTCTTTTTATGTTTGTTCAGTGAAGTGTTCATTGTCCGATCATAAAAATCTTTCTCAAAAGTATTTGTTATCTGATCACCCACTGTAATGTAGAAATCAACAACATTAAGTCATTTCATTTGAAGTCTTAGAAAAAGAGAAGTTTTACTGAATTTCCATCCTGCATTCTAGCAGGAATTATCCATCACCTCAGTTTTCATTTCAAGAAAAACACTACTAAATTACTTGTGAGAATCTAGGGCAGATACTTTTTTCCTAGATTGATGTAAAATTTATTTAATAAAAAAAAAAAAAAATATATTTTTTTTCTCTGCGAGTCATGATAGACTTTCAATTTAGAAGGAAGTTTCCAAGAACAGATGTTGACTTTGATACCAATTCAACAAGGAAGATCCTTGTCACTTCTCTCCTCAGGACCAAAATTTTCCCCAATGATTGAACAAGTAAAATGAAATAAATTTGGCTGAACACAAACCCCCCAGAGCTGAAGAACTGAATCAATAGACAAGAAAGCAGTGAATAAAGAAGTTTCCCACCAAAATTACAGGAAACCATGGCCAGCTTCTGCCAAAAACTTTGAAAAATATATAAAAAGAATGAGGAATTATGTTGACTTAAATAATTGTAAACTTTCTCTATGTTAGGTGATAAGGCAGTCGAATAATTAAATATATGTAACTTTCATTTAGGTTTTGTTACTGATTGTCTTTTGTTAATAAATTTGTTGTAGTAGTTTAATAATGACAACCTAGTTTTAGGTCTAACTCCATCACTATTCACACACAAATACCTCCTATAAAATCCAGTAATTAGTACAAAAGCCCGTTTGTGTCTTATTCCGTGTAATCGACTAAGTGGTTGTCAGGAGTCTTGATTCCAAGAGATCCAACTGATCTTTCAGAATATAAATGGTCATCACAAACATGTGACAGGGTCAATCAGAATCCTGGAAATTCATATTTAGCAATAAAAAGTAGATAAATAGCTTTACCTGATATATCATATCATAAAATCCAAACATTAGACTAGTGTTCACTTTGTAAACCCTAAGCAGCTCTTATTTCATAATTAAATTTTATATTAAATACCAAGTCATAGCATTTATTTCAGCAGTAATGTATACATTGCAGTGTCTTAAGCTGATCAAAGTCAATTCATTAGCCTACAGACCGCTTGGCTAATCTGGTACTGGCCGTAAGAGGCTAACCCAATCAATTAGTATCTACAAATCGGTCTGAATGAAATGCCGTAATAATGCACACAAAAAATCTATAAAATAGATAAATATTGTTTATGTGATTCAAATAAGTTACAAAAATAAAATGATTATTTTTATTAAAACACCAAATAAAAAATTGCTTCTCCAATTTTATATTACACTAGCAGAAACCCATTAAAATCAATGGTTTTATTCAGTTAAAATACAATGACATCATTTAAAATTTGGCAGTCTACATAAAAATCATCAGTAAGCAATTACAGGGTGGTTATAATTAAAAGTTGACCTATTCAGACCTGTATAGAGCCCGTTCTCTTTGATGTATTTTGATGAAACTTGGTATATACATTATATGGACCATAAGGAAAAGGAAAAATGCAAAAAAAATAATTAGTTCAAATTTCTACCACTAGGTGAAAAAATGGCACATGAAGAAGAAGAAACACAAATGGACACATGCAAAATGTTTTTATTCATGACATTTGTTTAATGGATAATCCATTTGCATCAATCACATGTTCAAACCGCCTTACAGTGTAGCATGTTCAACAGTAGCCCGATAGGTTTCTTGAGAAATTGCAGCAATATGGCATGATATGCTTGCTTTCAATTCAGTATGGTTGTGGGGATATCTGAAAGATCATGTCTATAAAGAAGGCATATGAACTCTGCCTGAATTGAAAGCAAGTATAACATGCCATATTGCTGCAATTTCTCAAGAAACCTATTGGGCTACTGTTGAACACTCTGTAAGGCGCTTTGAACATGTGATTGACGCAAATGGATTGCACATTAAACAAATGTCACAAATAAAAACATTTTGTGTGTGTCCATTTTGTGTTTCTTGTTCTTCATGCGCCATTCTTTCACCTAGTGTAGAAATTTGAACTAATTATTCTTTTTGCATTTTCCTTTTCCCTATGGTCCATATAACATATATACCAAGTATCATCAAAATACATCAATGAGAATGGACTCTATACAGGTTTGAGTAGGGTAACTTTTAATTGTAACCACCCTGTATTTTCCAAACTGTGTGTAGGTGATTCACATATAGCCATTCTCTGTACCTTAAGGCTCTTCCAATTGGTTCTCTATCTCAACGGCTTCTGTCAATTTTGCACCTGAGTCCCATGGTGGCAATTTAGCATTCCAACCAACTTCCAACTTGCTACAAGGTTTCTTACTAATTAAAAACTTATAATTTTAAGAAACCTTGTAGCAAGCTGTACATCCTTTCGATATAACATGATAAACACCCTTAATATAATTCTTTGTGTTGGTAAAAACATTGTAAATGGGACTAAAAGTATCGTATAAGTGTAATAGTACGATATAAGTGTGAAATTAAGCCATTCTAGCCTATGGAGACTCTTAAGCACTGAAGAGGAGCTAGAAAGTTAACCTGGCTCGAAATGCATCTGTAAAAAAGCAATAAAAGAAGTTTTATAACCTGAATTGGCTGTGAGGTACCAGAAGTTTTTTTCGGATTGAAGAGATGTTACTTAATAAATATATGAACAGCTACCATTAGAAAATTCAGAAAAAATAAATACTTTTATTTATCTTCAGTAGATGTGTTCCACACCTATTGAAGATAATGGATTATATGCTTTTTTTCCTGCATATAAATTAATTCTCGGTGACAAACGTTGCAACTTTTCTATTGAAAATTTGGAAAAAGTGCTTGTAATATATTATGAAGCTAACTATGGGAAACACAGCAAATAAAAAATGTAAAGAAAATTGTTTATATACTTTTGTGTTTGCATCATCCTGAATACGTGCATTTTTGTTTGGAATACATATATTAAATAAAAAAATTCATCGTCCTGATAAGTACGTTAATTGTTCATTGTGCAAATTTTGACCTCCTATTTTTGTTTATAAAGCATAAAGACGCAATTTAAGAGCTTATTTTAAGCGCCTAAAATGCCACTTTTAAGGGCCTATATGTCCACTGTCTAGTAATAGTAAAATAAATAGAGATTGGCACTAAAAGTTTGTAGATGGCACTGTGATCAATATAGATAAAACATTTATTGAAAAATAATGCAAAATGACTTAATATGTAATTAGCAAATGAAACAGGAATTTGCAGTAGTGGTGAGAAACCAACTGTTAAAATAATTAAGAAAAAATAAATCATTAGATGGCATTCCTGTACACTTAACATTGTATCTTTGCCACTGCATTACACCTGAACCATTGCACCTTTTTCAAATCTTTCTTCAGTGGCATCATTTACAACATAAGAGCTTTAATTTGATAACTGAACTGCATTTTTATCCCCAGATGTTTACTAAAACTGGTCTTACAGTCTCAAACACTCTTTAAATTAATATATACAATAGTATGTTAAGATAAATCGCTTACTTTATAGTAAAATTACTAATTATATGATAGAATAATTTGAAAAAATAGAAAAAAATAAAATGCATTTTGAAAATGAACTAAATGGTTTATAACAGTCAAAAGAATGATGAATAATGTTGTCATAAACATTTAAAGTTAACTCTTGAAACTGAAAATTACTTCTTTCAATGTATGAGATACAAAATTGTTTCTCTCTCTCAGGTTAGGCTTTAATGACGAGAATGGTTCATTCTTATTGTCAGTAGTGGGAGTTCAAATTTATTTCAGGTGTGAGAATCAAACGTGGGAATCAGAATTATCTTGCTGCTATTATTTGTGCAGTTGTTTAATTATGCTTTTAATTATATTTGTTGTTTCATAATATAAAAAAAACCACTTATTCTTCTCTTTTTATTTGAAATAAAGTTATCTAATAGAGAGCTGTCATTTCTAAATAGAATAAATTAAGTGTAAAATAGAGCTATGTTAGCAATTCCTTTATGCTTTTGTTCAGGTGTGAGTGTTTTAGTTATTATGTTTAGCTATCAGTTGTGTAATAATTTTTCTCTTTAGTTTATACTAATTTACTTGTTCCTTTATATTCCATATTAATTAACAGTTCCCAAAGTATGGGTTGCAAGAACAGCTGTGGAGATTACAAGGGGTTTTATAATCACCTGATACACTTTTACTGTACACTTAACATTATATCATTGCACTTTTCTCAAATCTCTCTTCAGTATCATCATCTACAGGGTAAAAGCTTTAATTTGCAACCTTAACCATATTTTTAGCCTCAGCCATTAACTCAAAGTAATATGGACAAACTGAAACCTTCTTTCAATTACTATATATTTATTTTTTCCCTCATGTAAAACTGAAAAATGTAAACTTTTTGAATTTAAGTCATATTTTTATTCAGATTAACTTAAACTATTGGTTAACTCTAAGATATTGATTTATTATATTTATTTATTTTTATAATGAAATGTTTTTAATATCTCATTCAGCTGAAATAAAGAATATCTCAAAAAATCATTTATGATTACTACTTTCTTACTCTGTTTTTAAACTTTATTATTATTGAACAATGATGTATCTGAAAATAAAATACAAAATAATTAAAGTAAGTGGTACATACCAGTAACTGTAAAACTTTAGGAGATACATGATTGAAAGATTCAATGACTTCACTTCTTCTATTGGCTCCCAATCTTAAAGACCTGCTGTTCACCTGAAATTACATTGTTTCACGTAAAGTAGTTTATTTAAATTACAATCTATTATTTTTATTAGGAAAATCTCATATGCATGAAAATTTCAAAAATAGCTTTATGCATGTTAGCTTTAATGTATATACAAAACTTTTTGATATTGTTTTTGAAAATGTTGATTTTTTTTCTTTAAATATGAAGGAAATTTATTAGTTCCTATTAATTTGATAAATTAAAAATAATTAGAAATATATTTTTATGATATTTTAGCGAGCTGCACAAGCCAGTAACAATTTTAACCCTCCGGGAGTTGTGTAATTTCTGTTGCATCCAGCAGTAGTATGAGGTCAATTAGACACAATTTTTTTTTTAAATCCAAAGTTGTATAAATGTGGACATCGTATTAAAAGTTTACATTTTACCTTTAATTCCATCATTTGTCTCCTTTGTAACCACGTAAAACCCTTTTAGTTAGGTAATATAAAAAAATAATTTAAAAAAGTTTAATTTTATCTAAATTATTAAAAAATTAACCATATTGAATTTCAAATAGCTATCCAAAGTGTTAAATTATACCTGCTAACTTTAATTTCTTACTAGAATAAAGCTAAGTGTCTTATTTGAAAATCAGGGAAAAGATTTTATAGATGTAATGAAAAAAAAATAGATCCATGCCGTCCCCTAAAAAAAAAAAAATAAACAAAAAGGAGAGAAGATTTCTGACCTGTAAAATAGGAGTGAATATCTGTCTTCTAATTGCTTCCACCTGTAAAATTTTCGTTTTGTTATCTTTCTAGAAAGATTTTCTTTACTCAAACAATTACTGTTGAAAAATTTTATTTAAATTTTATAATTAATCAACCCTCCTTTAAACAAAATCCACTTATTTTACTTTAAAAATTCATATTGCTCAAAATATTATAGAAAATGTTCAACTCTCTTGTTGAATCTTTAGTTTAAAATATTTTATATAAATATACGTAAAAATATTTAAGGACTTAAGACTAACAAATTTTAGCAAGTAATCATGTGATGTGAAACCTTTAAATTAATAATGCTATTAAATTAAAAATTATGCAAATTTTATGCATTAAATTTTTTAACAGTATAACATTGTACCTACATGATATACTGTTAATAAACTCATATTAAAGAAATATTTTACATTTTAAATGATTTAAATCCTCATAACAAATGTTTATTGCCTCGTACTGCCCAATCTGTGTTGCATGCTATAAAATTACAAAATTAAACTTGGATTTTGCAATTTTTAGCTGTTTCACCATCTTGCTTTGTGTCTGTCTTATTCACAAACAGCATATAATACATTATTTATATATGTACCTTCTAGGGTTTCTTATTTCCTGATCTTCTGCTTGTCCTGGGATTCCAGGAAAAAAGTGATCTGTTTTCCGGAATTCCAGGATATAATTAATTATTTTTAAGATATAAAATAAATCTTAAAATCGAATGATATAATTACTTTTCATTTTTAACTAACTTAATACAACCTACAACTTCCAAAATAATAATAATGCTGTGTAAAATATGTATAAAAAAATTATTTTTGAGTTATGTAGAAATTTTCACAAATAGAAAAAGTTTATTAAAGTTTGTTAAAAACTACTCACAACAAAAATGCCTTTGAATTGAGTTGAAAATTTAAAGAAAAAAAATGAACTTACATAAAACTTTACGATAATATTTTGTATTATGTTTTATTTAAATAAGGAAAATTACCTTCTAACTTAGCTTATTTAAATAAAACATAATACAAAATATTATCGTAAACTTTTATAAGATTTTAAAAATCAAAGAATACTTGATCACACAATTTGATTCTTATTTTAGTAAAAAAAAGTCCTGCTACCAAAAATGCCCTTTTTGATTCAATTGATATAGGTGGAATCGTGTTTAATGCATTTAAGAGAAGACGGATGTTATGTGTTTTTTCACCTATAGCCTGGAAGATTTCTAGTTCATTTTCGAGATGTGTTACAGTATTTCTTTTGCTGTCTAGTATTCTTGATTTCTCTACCTTGGCTGCTTTAATAGCGGCATCGAGCTTATAGCCCAATAATTTGGCAGTTTGTTTGGCTTTAATAATCAGGTTTATGAAGAAAAACTTCATACTTGCATACTTTGTACTTGTTTGTATCCTTGCCCAATTTGCACAACCTGGCATAATGCAGTTATTCATGCTACTGGGCATGGTTAAAAATTAAGACAGCATAAGCATAATTATTCCAAATATTACAGGTTCTGACAAGTAAAGAATTTTCAGTGTCTTGTCACAAATAGGCTACATATTGATTATTGACAATCTGTGACATGCCATAATAAGCAAAAATTAAAAACACTAATAAGCAGGCTTAAAATTAATAAATACAAACATTCCAACAGTTTCGAGATTAATTATACTTTCTATTTGCAAAAGTTCCTCAACTTTAACACAAAATAAGAAAAAAGGGAATTTTTAAGAAATCTGCAAGATTTCCCGAGATAATAAGAATTTCCTGGGTTAAAAATCAGCTGGGATGCCGTTGGAGAAATCCTAGTATCTTGTTTTAAAATTATAATTAATTGCATTAAAATTTTAAAAATATTCAAATTATATATATTTTAAAATATTAAATATATTATTTAATAATGTTTTAAATAAATTATTATTTTACTCTAATTATCAATGTAATTAGAGTAAAATATACTAATATATTTTATGTATTAAAGCTATATATATGTATTAATACTATAGTAAAATATATTAATATATTTTACTATAGTATTAATACATATATATAGCTTTAATACATAAAATATATTAGTATATTTTACTCTAATTACATTGATAATTAGAGTAAAATAATAATTTATTTAAAACATTATTAAATAATATATTTAATATTTTAAAATATATATAATTTGAATATTTTTAAAATTTTAATGCAATTAATTATAATTTTAAAACAAGATACTAGGATTTCTCCAACGGCATCCCAGCTGATTTTTAACCCAGGAAATTCTTATTATCTCGGGAAATCTTGCAGATTTCTTAAAAATTCCCTTTTTTCTTATTTTGTGTTAAAGTTGAGGAACTTTTGCAAATAGAAAGTATAATTAATCTCGAAACTGTTGGAATGTTTGTATTTATTAATTTTAAGCCTGCTTATTAGTGTTTTTAATTTTTGCTTATTATGGCATGTCACAGATTGTCAATAATCAATATGTAGCCTATTTGTGACAAGACACTGAAAATTCTTTACTTGTCAGAACCTGTAATATTTGGAATAATTATGCTTATGCTGTCTTAATTTTTAACCATGCCCAGTAGCATGAATAACTGCATTATGCCAGGTTGTGCAAATTGGGCAAGGATACAAACAAGTACAAAGTATGCAAGTATGAAGTTTTTCTTCATAAACCTGATTATTAAAGCCAAACAAACTGCCAAATTATTGGGCTATAAGCTCGATGCCGCTATTAAAGCAGCCAAGGTAGAGAAATCAAGAATACTAGACAGCAAAAGAAATACTGTAACACATCTCGAAAATGAACTAGAAATCTTCCAGGCTATAGGTGAAAAAACACATAACATCCGTCTTCTCTTAAATGCATTAAACACGATTCCACCCACATCAATTGAATCAGAAAGG